GTCCCTTCCAACCCTAGAAACTATGAAACTATGAAACAAGTAATTCACCCAGTCTCCTTGCTAGTCTCTGAATTTACTCTTTTAGCTAAGGCTTAAATGTACTGGTATCTCAAAAGAATAAGAGCATCAACCTAGGCCTAATGTTTCTCTTCAAGCATAGCTGTTTCTGTGATCCCAAGAGTCATTTCTATCTCCTTCATTTTCGATGCACCTGCCAGCCTGATGGATTCCTTTACTGCCTGGAAACTTAAGGTAAAGTTTTAGTAGCAGAGATTAAGATGCCCTTCATTCCTTTACGGAGCCATAGAACCTGTCACCCTTTTACAGGCTCTACTTTATGCTACATTATACATTACGGCTGAAATTGGGACATTCTTCTACTGATATTTTTGCCCTCTAAACCATCTTTAAGTAAATAAGCTGTCATATTGCATGCATAAATAGATGAATCATTAGTGTCTCACATGAAGGTGCACCTCTGTCACTAAGCCATTTTTTCCAGGTAGCAGTAGATACATGAAGCTATTTCTGGGGTGGCAAGTTTTTCTGCATACTATTTACAAAGGTGGTGGGTAGATGCCGTTTGCAAAATAGTACTTGTAATTATTTGATAAATCAGAAAATCCTGACTGAGGTTTGAATAAAGGGATACATCTTTGTAAATGGTAATAACAGAAAAAGGGAAGGTAACTGTTGTGATCATCCTTTTTATGGGGAAATGCTTCAGAAAGATATTGATAATTACCACACTTGAGAAAAAAACACAATACAAGCAATTATTTGATCTGAAATTACACTTATGGGATTATCCTACTCATGCAATATCATTATGGATTTGTGAAACCATCTAAACAGATTTTTAAAAGCAGAGACCCCTAATATATTTGGGATCCTTTGACCCTAGCTGAATTCCTGCCCCTCAGCAGGGGGCTGGACTTGATGATTTTCCAAGGTCCTTTTCAGCCCTAATGTCTATGAAAATCTATGAAATATATGCTGTAGTAAGGGTTAGTCAGA